GCCATCTGGTTCGGAGGTGAACCAATTTTGATGCATTTTTAAATGAACTACTATTGATTATACTGTATATATTTTGTCGGGTCACCGGACATTTATCATTTCTAAATTAGTGGCAAGGGATTGCTTTTTTCAACGGGGAATACACTTTGTTCAATAGAAGTATGACTGATGAAAACAGTAAGATACAGACATCAATTTTTAATTGTTTAGTCTGCAGCATAAATAGAGAGCAATTTAAGCTAGTTGGTAACAGTTACAATAAGGTTCAATTTGTTGACATTAGTTGCGTTAGGCATCATGAACTAACAATGAACAACGTTTTTTACAGCGTTTATTAATCTAATAAATGTTAATGTTAATTTATAAATATACTTTTTTCATTGCTAATTCAAGTTTTTTTCATTTATACAATGAAATCTCTGTTTTTTAATATTATTTTACATATATTAAAAAATGTGTTGAAAGCAAATTTTGAAAGCAACATTTTTTTTATCTGGAAAGGTGTGTGTGTCTGTGTGTTCTGAGTAAAATCTCTTTGTGCAGATGTGTGTGTGTGTGTGTGTGTGTTTTGGGTTTTTTAGCGGTGAATGATATCAGTGTGGATCCAGCTGGTCTGTTTGCACCAGGTGCCTGAATAGAGGGGGGTTGCAGAGTTTTCCATGTGCCGCCACACACTGATGTAAGCGGCTATTGTGTCATACACAAAGAGCAGGGCGAAACAGTTGCTTCCTCCTGGATCCATCCATCTGTGTGCGTGTGTGCTATACCTGTGATCTATAATTGTAATCTGAAGCTTGTGCGCTTGTTAATGTCTGCTTTATGAATATGTGTCATCATATCTGTCACCACATGACCCACACTCTTTCTTTCGTTCTCATTCTCTCATTCTCTTAGCTTGCGTGTTTGCCATCTGTCCATGGGCAGTTTTGTAACTGCCAGATGAGCATGTTTTTTAACTGTCCTCTCGTCTCCTCCTCTCCACCCCTCACCTCTCCGCCCTTCAGCACTGGTGCTCGGACAATTGCAGAGCTTTGTTTGTGACGCGTGTGTCGCCTGGAGGTGTGCCTGGCCCCCCTCCCACTCCAAAGCCCCTCTATTGTACGAAGACCACTCAGATGGAGCCCCCCTCCTGGTCCACTGGGCCATTATTTCTTTGTGGAAGGGGGTCTCCCCTATTGTCCAGTAGATTAACACAAGTCCCTCCCATCTCTCCTTTCCCCCACCACATGCTGACCCAAAAGTGTTAAAATGCCTTGAAGCAGAAAACGAGGAGGCAATTTACACAGCTGGCATCAACGCTGGGTCAAAGTAGAGAGAGGAGAAAAGACAATGAAAGATAAAGCTAGGGTAATGGGTAGGAGTTTGGTTGGAAACTTGCAATTTGAAGTGACACTTTACTTCACAAATAAAAAAAACCTTTGCTAGATCAGTGCAATTCAATGGCAAGGCCAGAAATTTTGAAGTAAGTGGACCTTGGTGAAATAGGGTGGACTTCAACGCCTACTCTCAAATTACATCATTTTACATACATATACAAACTCCTAAAAATAATTTGGCAATTAAGATTAGATAAATGTGATTTATTGTTAGCCGACAGTTTCATGAAAACAAAATCCATATCCAATAAACAGAACAATAAACAAAGGTAAATAATCATAGACAGAATGTGTGTAAGGCTGGGCAAGGCTCCACTCACACTAGAATCCACTCACCGCTCAAAGTTGGAGTTTTTGTCCAGTGCTGAGTTCTGCATGCGTGCAAATCTTCTCATTATAACAAAGTGTAGGCATTATGTAAATGAGATTAATTGTGCAGTGTAGACAGGCACCACTTGTGATTATAAAGGAACTTAGATCGTGTCATTAGGATGAACTAAAATTGACAGCTTTTGAGTGATTATAAATGGACCGCTTTTTGCACGCTTTTTGTAACTCTCTGTACCATGGTGTGGCTAAGTCCTCCTTATCCCGGCTACAATTGGTAAAAAACGCTGCCGCCAGGCTTCTTACTGGAACTGGAAAGAGGGAACATATTTCGCCTGTTCTTGCCTCGCTTCATTGGTTGCCGGTCGAATACCGTGTTATGTTGTATGTGTATAAGGGGTTAAATGGCCAGGCTCCTCACTACATTACAGATCTTCTTCTCCACCGGAAATGTTCTAGGCCCTTAAGGTCTTCAAACAAGTTGATGCTGACTGTGCCACGATCTAGATTGAAGTTAAAGGGTGATCGTGCCTTTTCTGTTGCTGCTCCACGTCTGTGGAAGGATTTGCCGGAACACTTAAGGTTGTCTTCAAATGTTGATAGCTTTAAGGCTTTTTTTTATATGTAATTTTATGAATGTGTGTATGTTCCTGCTTGTTTATGTATTTTATTGTCTGAAGTGATTGTACAGCACTTTGGTCAGCAGTGGCTGTTTTAAATGTGCTCTAGAAATAAAAGTGCCTTGCCTTTTTAGGCGATATATATAATCAATTCAGAATTTTAATAAATCTTTTGTTTTTCATACTTGACCAGCGGCCACACACGCTGCAAAGTTTCGGGAGTGACATCTGCTAAATTCATGTATTTAAGCGACTATTTTTATTTATGCATGATTTTTCTCTCCTTCCCCCCCCCCCAAAAAAAAAAGAAAGAAATATATATACTGTATATAGATAGATAGATAGATAGATAGATAGATAGATAGATAGATAGATAGATAGATAGATAGATAGATAGATAGATAGATAGATAGATAGATAGATAGATAGATAGATAGATAGATAGATAGATAGATAGATAGATGTATAATGTAGTTTTCACCAGGAATTCTATGTTAAACACAATTACTAGGGGGAGGGTCTTTCTCGTTATAGAGAGTATTTGATTGGACAAAGTGAGTGAGTGCACGGTGAGTCATCAATATTTTTGGTGCATTTCCTGGAAGAGAAAGACTATACAGTTTATATTTTGTATTACTTTTCACACTGAACGGATGTACACTTTGCAGATGATATCACATACTTTTAGAAAAGAGTCATTCCTATGGGAATATCGTAGAGACTTGAGGGTGGGATCTTTTATCTTAGGCCAGTAGCCACCCAAAACACCTTAGCAAACGCATAGCAAAAGTCCTTAGAAAAAGTAATCGGTTTTGCAATTGTCATTAATTTTTATGTATGTTCTTACAAAATCCAGCACTGTGCCTCATATTTTTTATTTTTTTTGCTAAGTCTAGCATTCTAGTGAAATTTGCAAATATCTGCATTCACATTTTAATTTTCACCCACTATCGTTCTTAGTGGACAATCACTAGTTCTTTTCCAGTTGGCAGAATTTTTTTTTTTGTCAAACAAGGTGGCTTGTATATTTAGACTCTAAATGTCATCAGGATACACATACACCGGTAGGCAGTGGCCCACCTTACCGGGTGACCATGTCGTGGTCCACCAGCATTTATAGTTTACCCATCTTTTTTTACCAACCTCTGAATAAAACGTACGAGTCCCAGTCACGCCGAACCTCTCTTCTTCCTTCCAAACACTGAAGCTCATTACAATGGCCCTTAAAGAATGTTAAAAAATTGTAAATGGCCCTTGATAGGAAAAAGGTTCCCCACCCCTGATTTAGAGGAAAGGTAAATGGCCCTAAAGTATGTCTGGTACAGTTGATCCTACACGACTGTGTGTTTTCACGGCCACTCTTGCTTCCTTCTGACTGAGCTTCCTCAGAGAGGGGTTCAGCACATTTGAAAAGGCTAATTGAGTTTTCAGCTAAGACGAGAGGGGGTAGCGCAAGGCGACTCGCTCTCTCTTTACTGCCGCAGACCTTTCGTTTTGTGTGTGTGTTCTTTAAGGAAATGGTCAGGAAACTCGCGTCACCCTGAAAGACTGAGTACATTCAGGGTGTCTCAGAGGGATTTGAGTGCATTTCGGGTTTGACAGGGCTTGCAGGACGGAGGGAGAAGGTGTTTATTCAAGATCTGGAGCTTGACTGAGAAGTGTGCCTGTTAAATGTTTTGACCTAAAAGATGTGGGGTTAGTGTAGCACAGTGGGGAAAGATCAAGTCTGGATACCAAAATGTTGACTAGAAGAGTTATTCAGACCAGCATAGGCTGGTCTAAGCAGTTTTTTTCAGCAGTGCATATCCAGTTGATATCTATCAGGTTTAAAATGCTTTGGAAAAAAAGCATCTGCTAAATGAATAAATGTAAATGTATGCTAAATAACTATTCATGTGAGGTTGTGTTATCATTTTGATACATTTTTGGGGTAGGCAAAAAGCACAAAAGAAAGGCAAAATGTATTTATTTGTTTAGGTATAGTGAGGAAAAAGTCATGTGTCTTGATGTGTGCGTCCTGGAATGCATTGAAATATCAAAAACCCATTTGATATACAGTACATCATGGTTGAAATATGTGATATAAATAAAACATTGTGTATATGATTTTAAGAAGTTCCTTATTTATTCTCACTGATTTAATTTATTTTATTTTCAAAAAAAACATTTTGAACAATTTTTACTCAGGAAGTTGGCAAAATACCTTAATAATCGTAGACATTCTTGTCTAGACAGGATTAGATTTCCCTGAGTTAGCCATACAATATTATATAATTTGCTCCGTAATTTTTACAGAGGCAAAGCCATTTTTTTTATTTGAACAGGATTACAATCACAAAGTAGGCTACATCTGTGAAACACAAACTGTCCTGACCTCTTCTGGGAAAACTAGTCCTGAATAGGGCTTTTTTTTCCTTAGTTAGCTCAAATTGAATATATAATAGAAATATCAAGATTACACCACCTCGTAAGGTTGTTGCCACTCAAACTGGAGTCAGGTTATCTTTCCAAACAGATATCCGAGCACTGGAAGTAACAGGCTGGGGACTCGTAGCATGTGTGTTTATGAGTAGCTCTCGGCTGATTGGCTGAGCCGAAAGTGTGAAAGACCATAGGGAGGAGGATGCATGAGTCGGGGGTTGGGTAAGGGGCGTGTTCTCCCTCTCTCTATTTGCCTGGTGTCCCTGCTTGATGAGATCAGCGGATCGCCTTTCATCATGAGGCAGCTCTCACGCTGCTGCTCGCACTGCCGTCTGTCCTCTCTCTCTCCTCGTCCTCCTTCTTTCTCTCTCTCCTTCCCTTTCTCTCTCTTCCGGGCCGCCGAGCTGGAGTTTGAAGCCGGAGCCGAGACACAGGACAGAGTAAGGAGTGCGGAGTGGGACGGAGGCTGCCACGGCAGGGATTAACCTCAGGGAGGGGGTGGGGGGGTTACATCTCTGGGGAGAAGCTTCTTTTCTCCTTCCTCAGCAGGGAGACACAGAGAAAAGAGAAAGAACTAGTGTGCGCTCCTTCTCACAAAGAGAGGAGCTGCTTGGTCCTTTATTCCAGTGGGTTTCCTCAATTCTTTCCTTCACGGGTGCGAGGAGGGACGACTGGGGAGTTCCGCCGGGGAGACCATCACAACCGGGTCCGTGTAAGCAGCGTGCCTCTGTGTTTGAGTGCAATGAAGAACTTGATGTGGCATGTTTAAGTGTTTACTTGTTGTGTGAAGAAACTATCCTGTGAGCTTTTATTCTTTCCCTTCTTGCTTTCGGCTGTTTGGGTTACCTCATGTGCACTCTATTCTAGCTCCCACTTTCTTGCATTCCCCGTTGTATTTTATTCCTCTAATAGAGGTTTGATCCTCTAAGTGAGGTTTGATCCACCCTGGCAATGATACTCAGGAAGGATACAGTCTTTTCTTTGTGTTGGATGTTACAGCTGCCCGGGATGTTTCTAAACCTGGGATTTCCATGCATTTAATACCTTCTGAGCTCCAGGGAGCAGGTTCAAGACCCCAAATGCTGCGGTGGGGTTGTAGGAACGGCGCCCGGTCTTGCTCTTGAGGATGGTGCATTTGTGGGTTGAAAAGCGAAGTATTTCCACCTGAACTCACGGCTCATGTTTTCTCAGCTGCCATGCGCGATCAGATAAGGTGATTAGAGGACGGTTGGATCTTCTCCTCCCCATGTTGCGCGTCACGGCTAACGTTCGTCTTTCCTCTGGTTTGGTGTTCAAAGGAAGCGCTCCCACAGCGCTGGCTGATTCTTAGCCTGGGAAGCATATTTGAATGCTTTTCATTGTGTCCCCCTCGTGTTTGTGTGCACGCGCGGCTTATGGATTTGCATGCGTCTGTTTGCGCACGTGTGGTTGTGTGTTTCCAGTGGTGAAATGTTTATGGAACAGACTCTGTGTGTGTTTTGTGTTGAGGGCAGTGGGGCATCTCTTACAAAGAAGTACTGTGGTAGTGTCATGGTACAGTAATGATATCAGATAACGTGGTACTTTTGTACATTGTTTATAAAAAAGTCCTGGTAGTACTGTGGCACTTTGATAGTTCTGAAAGATTACTATATCCATTTACATTGTTATCATGGTAGGCTACGTGTGTCAAAAACTTCATGATGACGCCATGGTATTTTGATATATCACTTACAAAAAAGTATCAAAATATCAGGAACATAGATCACGATACATGAATTTCAGTAAAAAGGTGTATTTCAAAGTACTATAGTATTACCATTTGATGCCATCACTGTACATTTTACCATAGTTTTCTGTAAGAGATACTATAGTTTACTTAAAGATATACTTTGTTGCATTACTATGGTAATGCAACAAAGTATAAATAGGAATATCATTCTGCCGGTGTTATTATAGTATTATTTATAATATTATAGCATTTATGAATATTTTATTATATTAATATAATATTTTAGTTTTATATTTTCCAATTTCATTCTAATTTTAGGTTTAGTATTTGTGTATGTGCTTTTGTCATTTGTATTAGTTTTTTTATATTTCTATTTAGCTTTCATTTATTTAGTAATTTCATCTTAAACTATTTTATTTCACTTTCACTAATATTGACATTTTATTTCAGATTTATGTCAATTAACAGAAAACTATTTTTAATAGTTTTAGTTAACAACAACAACAACATTCTGTTTTAATATATACCATGGTATGTGTCCTGAAACATATGCTAATGCCATGTTCATTTTTTATACCATAGTACTTAAATATTACCACATTCATACACCATGGTACCATGTCCAAAAAATATAATAATACCATGTAACTTTGACACATTCCATACAGCACTGAACGATTACCATGATGATATTTATTTACCATGATATTTTAATGATATTTATGTGGTACATGATATTTATATTGTACTAACATATGATCATATTAATTTTCTATGGTACACAAACCTTGATTTCATAGGACTCTTTGTGAGTGATCTCTGCACATGTGTCCGTGTGTAATTGTGTGTGTGTGTTGCGAGTGGTGTGGGACGGGGGCACAGGGTGTGTGTGTGTGTGTGTGTGGGACGAGGGCAGTGAGACTGCTTTAATCACTGAGTGTGTTGTCTGAGAGCAGTGGGCTGGAAAGAGCTGACTGGAGCTGCTCTGTGGGGAGAGGCTCTTCTGGGAGAGCTTAGAGCTCAGCTGTTAGCCGTGTGAAGAGCTACACAACCATTTGCCTTGCCATTCAATGTCCCTCCTTTGGAGAGGACCAGTGGATTAGTGCCAGAAGAGTGTGTGTGTGTGTGTGTGTGTGTGTGTGTGTGTGTGTGTGTGTGTGTGTGTGTCCGTGTAGCTAAAGGGTTTGAAAGGACAGGAGGTGGGTTCGCACATCTGCCACAAGGCTGTGTGTGTGATTACTGGTTTTGGGTTGGGGGTGGACTCTTTAGTCACAGTGATAAATGGCCTTCGGGCTGTCAGAAAGCCTGGACTTCAATGGATGTGTCTTATATTTACACTCTTCCTGCACATAGCTTGCATCGGATGTCCTCACTGCAATGCCTGAAGACTTGTGAGCCTTTAGGCACAGGGAAATTGAATGGGAAATTACACTGCGGATATTTGGAACAGCTTAATAGGAGGTACACAGGAGAAAAAAAAGTACTTTAATGAAAATCAGATTTAGCATAGCCCTATCATAAAGGTTTGGGACGTTTCATTGTTATTCTGGTGAATAGATGCTTGAAGTTGGCAGTGCTTTATTAAATGTGTTTTATTGTGGTATTTATTACATAGTTATTTTTTTGGTAGTTGATCATATGGACTTGTTTTTCTAGGCACAAATAAATTTAATTAGAACTTATATGGTAGAAATTTGAATAGCTTAACCGGAAATACATTTATTGAACGTCAGAGATTTGTTGCATACACTACCATTAAAAAATTCCAAATTCTACAATGTTTTTAAAGAAATTAATCATTTTTGATTCAGCAAGGTTGCATATGCATGATCAAATAGATGTAGCCTGCAAGCATAAGAGACTCAAAACATTTAAAAAAAATCTTACCAACCCCAAATGTTTGAAAAGTAGTGTAGGTTTGGATATGTCATAGCTTTTCTGGTAACGAAGAAATGTTCACAGTCTTTTGTATTTTATTGAATGGAGTTATCTTGTGGTAGTTCATAATACAAACTTGTTTAGCAAGGCATAGAGAAATTGAATCGGGGTTTATGTTGGGATATTTGGAATACTGGGAAATACAGGCAAAATGGACACATCCAAAAACACATCCTTGTCACGTAGGTTTGGATGTTTCAGCTTTTCTGGTAAAAAGCAACCTGCTCTCAGGGTCTGTGGTGCTTTATCACGTTGGCTTGTTTTGTTCCAGTAAAGAAAGTACAGAGTATGAATGTGATATCTTTGTCGATATCAATTAACCAGCAACAACCTCAACAGATGACTGACTGGACATTTTGTCAGGCTTTCTATTCCTATGGAGATGAGCTGGGTAGCCCGCCCATCGTGAAATCCCAGTGGCCCAAAATCCTGCTCCACGTATGTTCTGATTGGCTGTGATTATCTCACACCACGCAGCATTTCAATAAGTACGTTTACATGTTACATTATCTAGGTCTGCTAGTTCAACTTCACCAAAATGGTTTGATTTCAGTCTGACTAAAGCATTTGCATGTCATTTTAAAAGGATGAATTACTTTAGTCCAAATTAAACTTTCCTTTTAAAGTGTATGTTAACGCACTTAGTGTATTTTCTCTAGTTAGGAAATGTTGTCACACTTGATGTTACTCTTGTGACCAGAATTCTTAGTACTGAATGTTCAAATGCAGCCATTTCCTTTCTGTTCTCATTTGGGAATATTTTATAGTTATGCTACATGTGACTGGTGATTTAGGATGCAGATGAGACATGGGTTCAATTAAATTTAGTAAAGTGTTGTGGCACGTGCCCCTGACAAGACCCACAAGAGGGTTCTGCCGCTATGAGTAGCCACACGTACGTTGTAAACAGATATCTGACTTCTAATTGAAAGCAGTGATGGCGTAAGGTTCGCATTTATGCTGTGCCGGCTGTATTCATAGTCTCTAGTTTCACTTTGATGTGACAGCCTCCAAGGGCGATCGCTGGATTCATCTGCTTGTGTGTCACTTCAGAACACATCTCACCCATCAGGACATGTCGTACGGATAACTCTCTCTCTCACACACACACACACGCTGTACCCAATCTGCCCAAAGATCTCATAATTTTATTACTGAACCCGCCGTCACTCTTGCCATCGGCTTCTCTTTTTTCTAGAATGTTCTGAACATAAAAACACCACAGCCTGCTTCAACAGATGCCTGTTGTGAGAGCATTTCTTTCACACCACATGCATGTGTGTGTGGTGATAGTGTGTCTCCATGGGCCAGGTCTGTTTAATTAGGACTGTGTAGGTGGACAGAGGCAGGGGGGGGACATGTGACCTTATGGCAGTCTGTCCTGTGCCCTCTGAACCACGGAGATGATAGAGTACTGGACACCGGTTTTACTGATCTGCCGCATGTGTAAATGACAAAAAGAGAGGAGAAGGGAGATTGATGAGGGTGGGGGTGGGGAGGAAGATGAGACAGAGAGAAAAGATGGACAAAAATGATATGTTAGTACAGCTGGGAAAAAAAACAGGTCATACTCACATATGGTATGATGCTGGGTTTTTGCTGATCAATGAATAGAAACAAAATTAATTTTGTTCTGAACAAATTATTTCTTACATGGAGCAAAATGGGGAAATTTCAAAGATTTGTACATTATTTGGGAACTGAGGGTTTTCAAGTAGGTCACAAAAGCACCATGGTTGGGGGGGAGCATGTTGTAACGTATTGAATGTCTCTCCTGTCACTGCTGATCAATTTAATGCATCCTTGCTGAATAAAATTGCCTAACCCTGATCTTTTGAATGGTACTGTGTATATGCCAAGTCATCTAAAGCCAAAACAATAATTAGGTTGTTCTTCACTGAAAATCCACTGATATATTCCCCACAGTGAGCTTTTAACTCCGTAACCAGATCATTAAGTCACTAAGTTTTTGATCACCCCTAATAATTAGAACTAATCATTCAAACGATGCATAAAAAAAGATTAGACTGTAAAGAACGATTAATTGGCAGATCTAAACGAAC